TATGTCAGTAGTTAGCTCTGTTATATAGAGTCATACTCTGATAACAATTTTGAAGAAGGTCAATTTTTGAGTGACCTAACAATTCAAGTAGTGGTTGAAGTAGTTTTATCGTGCCATCAAATGATAGAATAAAACATCAAATAATTACGTAAATGATTCTCTTGAATTTCCTGAATCGTGAAATAAACATGTTTTGGATTATTAATTTTGAATTATGGAGAATACTGCAGTCAAGGTCCCTCGACAGCGTAAAACTGCGAGTGTATGTTGAAATGAACGGGAACTGAATCTAATTAAGATCTTCACTTCCTGCGGTCTTTGAATTACCTAAGATCTTGTCAGCCTTCTTTGATTTACACAGATCAATGCAAACTAGAAAATGATATTCTACATCTTTGTTTTTGAAGAAAATTTTATACTACATAATTTTATATGTTTTAAATTTTAAATTTTATATTACATAATTTAATTTTGTTTTAAATAAAATATTACTCAAGTTTTCAATCAGCTGTAAAATGTGTTGAAACAACTTTCAAAGATTATTTATAATTCTTTTTTTTAATTAAAATAATGAGTAGTTTCTTCGTAGTGACTGTTATTAATTATTATAGTGACTCTTATTAATTATAATTAAAGAATGTTATTCTGATGGAATGTAGCAGTTATGATTGATTCGAAAATTTATGAAAATTACATTAACTAATGAATAACGCCTTTCATAATTCAAATGATTTAACTCTCCCGATCCAGTAATCACGATTTAATACTCAACAATTGCGGCCAACGTGTAGATAAGCTGAATATAAAAGCAAATTGTACGCTAAAAAGATTACTCCAAGGAGAGAGAAAAGATTTACGAGGACATTTTACGTGAATCTGGTAATCCCCATGTCATTTTCTTCGAGACAGATTTTCTTTTCGTTTCACCGTTCTGTTAATACTTTGTCATCCATAATCCATAAATTTCAGAGGACTTTAATCTTCATTTTCTGGAATGAGACATTATGGTGTTGACTTATATATAATGTGTCCTAAAAGAAAACAACCTTCAATCTTACAGAATACTTCACTATTTTATTTATTATTAAAATCTTCACATCCTTTGAGGGCACAGTGTCTAATTAATTAGGAAATTTATTACAAAAATTGACAGAGGACGATTATTTAAATTATTAAATTTCTATGTACATAAACTTCCCAATTTTTAATTATTATTCTTTTAAATTTGCAAATTTCTAAATTTTTGAATTTCTACAAAGTCGAATTAATATTACACTTCCATCTTATAGAATTTACTTCTTCTATAGTCTTACAAGACTACTTTACACAGGCTGATTATTTCAGTGTCTCAAAATGGAGGTCAGAAAATCTTGCAAAACACCGACGCACCGTAATCGAAATTTTATAATTAAGAATCTCGAAAGAAGTCTTTAACTTACTCGCAAAGATAAAACCATTGCCTGATGGCGTTTTCAGTGACTTCAGCGTTGACAGTCACAGTGTTAACAGAGAAATCTCATTTCCGTAGTGTACGGTCTTCCGCTCGTTATCTCAGTTTCAATGGCGTTTCGTCTTCCTCGATCGTTCACCTTCGGCACTTGCGAAATAATGACATAGAAAACGAGCTACGCGTCGACCGTCGTGTAATGGCTTTCCAAGCCAAAACTCATGGTAAAAGTCGAAAGAAATTTCATGGTCACTCGGATTCCTTTACTGGTATGGCCGGCTGTCATCCTCGCCGCCGATGGACATTTTTTACGCTAAATTTACTCGACCTCAAGAATGATCGAACGTTCGACGCGGTTCTTATTGAATTACACTCGTAGAATAATAGGTGGAATGTTTCGGAAGTAGAAGTTGCATTTTTGGACGTGATAACAATAACTGTGAGATGGTTATTTGGTAAAATAAATTTTACGTATTTACTTTATGTGAATCCATGTTTGGGCAATGGAAGAATTATAGAAGTTTGGGAAATTTGAAAACTTGAGCACTTCCTAAAATTTAGAAACTAGGAAATTTGCTTAGAATAAAATGTTTGGGAATTTGTAACATTTAAAACGATACAAAGAAATTCAGCTTTGTAAATTTTTTGTTTAAGCCAACATTACACTCTGCACGAAAAGGCTTGTTCACGACTGCGGTTAGTTCGAACCCATCACTCACGCGCTCATTGTTCAGCGTTCTAATAACTCCGAAACAAAGCCTCAATCAAAATTTTGGCAGAGGAAAAGGTTGTTCAGAATCGTTCCACCTATCACTTCTTTCTAAAACTTACTCCAGTTTTGGAACTATAAGATCATTTTAATCAATCATCAATATATTCGAAGGACTGAAAATGTTTCTTCATTAAATTCAAACAAAATTGGACATTTTCCATCTCCATGTAAAAACAATTTTGAAGATTTCGATAAAACTTCAAATATATTTTGAAGTAAAAATTTAAAGAAGTATATAAAATTCCCTTGGAATTCATTAGCAATTCTCACTCGCGCCGATGCGAGTCACGTTCTCCCGCTTTAATCTCACGATATTCGATCGCAGAAATTTTTACGCGTCCAAGAAGTCTCGAGGACGACCAATTTGAAGACCTCTCGAAGAATCCGTGGAATTCATTGATACTGTCGATCGATCTGTCGTAAAAACAACCCAAACTTCTTGGCACTTCGAATTTCTCGAGCCTCGAACAGCTCGTTCTTCGCTAGATTCTTGCTGATTCGATTTTATTGACCTTTCGAGTTATCTCGCGCGATTTTTCAGGTAACAGTGACGTCCTCGGCGGGGAAAATTGAACGATTGAACATCACCAGCGAGAATGCTTGTCTGGAGCTGACGCCGGATTTCCGGGCGAAACGTCGCCTGGCGGTTCGCGTTTGCAGAAGCTCGGATCATTGCCAGAACAACGCCTGCGTGAGGAAGTGTTGCAAAGAGAACGGGTCTCAAAGAAAGAAGTGCATAAGAAATTATGTGCCCGATTTTCCCGACCGTTTTTACGAAACTGTCTCTGAACTCATGAAAGTAGACAGCGTTACAGGTACGTTCTCCCTTTCTTTTATTTTATTGCGCCTCGTGTACTGCGTTTTTCTGCATCGCTTATTCGACTGTCTTGTTTAGCTCTGAAAGTTTATAGTTTTTGGACATTTTCTGTCATACTGAAAATATTCATAAAATATTGTATATTTTATATGTGGTGATGAATATTTTTATTTTGATTAGAATCGTCTTTTTTAATTTTTTCTCATGTGGTGTTATATCACAAATGATTGTGGTGTGACGAATGAAACACTTGTCCAACAATATATGGTCATAAATATTTTTATTTCGAGTAGAATCATCCTCTTTAATTTTTTATCACATATGCAGAGCTGTATCACAAATATCATGATTGTGATGTGACGAATGAATCAGAAACTCTTGTCCAACTATAATTCACAGACGAATGCAACAATATTTTACGTAGACAAATTACTATCGGCAGATCAAAAGATATCATTAGACCCAACATTCCGATGTCAAGTATAAAGAATACACACGGGATTTCCAAGATGTAACAGATAATGAAACGGATTTTTTACCAAGAATGAGATTGAATGATTATAATACACGTAACGATCAGTTCATTGTTGGAAGGACACAGAATATAGGTATTGTCGCGTAATCTTTTCCCGTTGTAACGCCTGTATGCTTAAATTGCGCAAATGGCCGTTGTATCACTCCCATTTACGTAAGATTTATCCTCCTTTGCCAGAAATGATGTAATGGACACTCGAACCGTTCATCATTATTGGGAAAGCAATTTTTGAAGAAAAGGTGAAAGTATGAATACTTGGCTTTGTTCATGGACTGCTGGGCTAGGTTAGCAAATTAGAAGAAGTTATAAGGTTTCAAATATGTTCTTTGTCTGTGGTAATAAATTTATTTGAGTGTCACCCTATTTCTAGATGCATAAGCTTGTGGTGAAAAATTTGGGGGTAAATAATGATAGACTGAAGTGTGTAGAAATTTCTGAATTCCCAAATCGCTCAATCTTTGATTTCATAATTTTTCAAATTTCTAAATGTTCAAATCTTCAAATTCCACCATGTCCAAATTTTCAAAATTCCAAATTCCACCACATCCAAATTTTCAAAATATCCAAATCCCACCGCATCCAAATTTCTAAAATTCCAAATTCCACCACATCCAAATTTTCAAAATATCCAAATCCCACCACATCCAAATTTCCAAAATTCCAAATTCCACCACATCCAAATTCTCAAAATATTCAAATCCCATCATATCCGAAGATCCAAGTGTCCAGATCCCACCACATCCAAATTTCCAAAATTCCAAATTCCACCACATCCAAATTTTCCAAAATTCCAAATTCCACCACATCCAAATTTCCAAAATTCCAAATCCCACCACATCCAAATTTTCAAAATTCCAAATTCCACCACATCCAAATTTCCAAAATTCCAAAACCCCTAAGTTCCTAAACCTTCACATTCCTAAATATAAAATTTCTAAAGTTGCAATATATACCAAACCTTCACATTCCTAAATATAAAATTTCTAAAGTTGCTATATGTACCAATTTCAAAGATATATATTAAACCAGACTTTCTCATTTACATCTCGCAAGAAGTAAATATGAACGAACTTGTATCTTCGTCCTATGATTTCATACCCAACATTTGTCTACACATTTCTCGGTGCTAACATTCACCTTTTCTTCTTTAAAGAATTCGGTCTGCTGGTCGGATTAAGGTGCGAGTACCAAATGTACATGCTGACCGAGAACGATACATGGAGCATGACACCAGAAGGCTACATCAAGGTAGATCCAAATGTGGAGACATTTCAACACGACCGGTACTGTCTGGAGACGCGGTACAACAGCACTGATGCAAACGTCTTGAATGTTTTTGCTTGCTTCGACAAACCACATCAGGAACCAAGTCCAACAAAGTAAGTCTCTCTTTTGTTTTCATAGTTTTATATATTAAACATTTCAGAATTTAGTACTTTTAGAATTGTTTAAATATAAGTTAGGTTCTGGTGCGACGGATCAAAACATATGTGTTGGAAGTAACGGACAAAACAAATGAACTGCGCTATGCGCGTCCGAACACGCATCACGATGCTTTGTCCTACAGTTACAGTTTTACCTTCGTCAACGAAGCACCGGGCATTTTGTAAAGACATTTTTATATTATTAAAGTATTTTCCGTTCACCTCAGCACTGCAGTTTATTTTCCTGACGCTAATCCTAACAATATGTAATTCTTGTTTTAAGAAAAGTAAGGTTATTTTTTTACTTTAGTTTAAATTTAAATATAAGTGGCCTTGCGAGGACCTAGTGTTAAATCAATGATTTATAATATATTTGACGTATTTATAAATACAGTTGTAGTGTACTATGGTTTGTGAACCACTTCATGCTTGAATTAAGGTGGTTGAACACTATTGTTTAAAAAATCAATGATTTATAATATATTTGACTATATTTATGTAAAATACAGTTGCAGTGTAATATGGTTTATGAACTACTTCATGCTTGAATTAAGGTGGTTGAATACTATGGTTTAAAAAATCAATGATTTATAATATATTTGACTATATTTATATAAAATACAGTTGTAGTGTAATATGGTTTGTGGACCACATACCTGAATTAAGGTGATCGAACACTATGGCTTAAAGGATAATGTATCTCCACCCTGATTTATTTGGGCTACAATTTATCACCTAGCCCTAACTATTCTTGGTCAAGTCATATAATTCATCATATCAAAGAATGTCAAATAACTTATTCCTCTTATCTTTTTATCCTCATTCGACGCCTCTGCATTACCTGAGAGAATGAAAGTTTTTTCACATTCGGCCTACTTGTACATCTTTTAAAGGTATAGAAACCAGAATTATAAGAAAGTTTGCTTGATTAGTAGTCGAGCTATCTGCCTGCAGCTACTGTCATTGTTAATTATATGATCTATTAAATCCAAAGTGACATTAATCATTTTATGGAGAATTCAGCATTTTTTTTGAAAATGGGGAAAATTATGTAGATACAACTTTATTGAACAAATAAAATAACACATCTTTTGTTGTAATTAAAATAATACATCTCTTCATATTACAAACTTTAGTTTATTCATATTACAAACTCTAGGAACGTATGTGTACATTTTATGTTTTAGGAAAATCAATGAATCAAATGAGTACATTGTCGCAAAATGGGTTAACTCATTTGAAGGTTAGGACTTATTTGACGGTTAGACCAATTAGATCAATACATTAGACAATTAGACCAATACAATATCATACCGTAATAAATTAGACCATCAGACCAATGCAGTAGTAATAAAATAACTATAACTCAACGTGCAAAATTTAGTTTCTTTTTACAAAGTAATCAGAAAGAAGGTTTTTCCTACATATGGTTTTCTGAATCTATTGAAATATGATGCTTTCGTAACAGCCATTTTTTCGCCCAAGGCAATAAGATGGTGAATTAATATCCGTTATTCAAATAAAACAGCAATCGATTTAATAGCAGATATGAAGGAAAGAAAAATGAGGAGTAGGAAGATGGCTTTCTCTATTGGTATTACCGTTTCTGTCATTGCTGCCCTGGAGGTAGGCTCCAGGGCAAACGACAGAACAAGAAGTCATACACGTAAAGTATCTTCTATCAATTGATGCACGATTTTGATTGATTGCTTTTTCACGAGCGATTTATAACAAATTCTTATCACAAGACAATTTCCCATACATGACACAGTGTTAAAGTGAAGCCAGAAAAGTGAAATTATTTGATCCTTGAAAAGTGTAATTTTTAAAATGATAAATTTTATAATTGGAACAGATTTTTCTAATTTATATAAATCATTCTTGAAATAGTTTATTTGGAATACTTTTTGGAACAATTTTGCAATTTAATTTAGCAAGTTCATTTTTGGAACATTTCTTTTAAACAAATTTATGGACAAATTTCTGAGATAATTAAGGATGTGAATAAAATACAATCCTTGTCGATAAAAGACTTTTACAGAATATCTATTTTTTATTGGATTTTATACCACGTTAAAATTGCATCAAAACGTGTGCCAATTGAATCTCAAAAGTCTCAAAAAGTTTGTCAAAAAATCTCTCAAAGTTTGTCAAAAAATTTTGATATCGACTGTACTTTTATTGTCTGTCCAAGTTTACAAAGAACACTGAACTTGTATTAAAAATAACTATAAATACTAAAAATACTGTCGCAATTTTTAGATGCAACTTTACGTCATTCCTTTTGTAAATACAAAAATTTTCAGTTAAAATAATATTATTAGATAATAATAGAGTTTCAATTCATCGCGTAATTTTAGAATCACCAACGTCAGTGCTAGTCGTTAAGAAGTGAAACCTCCTCGTTTCTTTCTGAATTACTCTTCGTAAACACGGATCTATACATATCTCCTGTATTTATTTATACTTCTCCAAATTCTGTAAATACGTTACATTCCGTACTTTTAAAAAGGCGAAGTTTAAGAATGATTTTTGATGAAAGTTTACGTTAAAGTCCTTTTCAAAGATGTAAATTATGTATTTGGGAAATGCAAAATTTGGTGGTTTTTAAATTTTCAAATTTCTAAAGGTTCAAATCTTTCAATTCTCAAATTTCCAAAGTTCCAAATTTCTCAGTTCTCAAATTCCAAAATTTCTAAATTCTAAAATTTTTGAATTTCCAAAGTTTCAAATCTCTCACTCCTCAAATTCCCAAGCATTCGATTCCTAAATTTCTAAATTCTAAAGTTTTCAAATTTCCAAAGTTTCAAATCTCTCACTCTCCAAATTTCCAAGCATTCGATTCCTAAATTTCCAAATTCTAAAATTTTCGAATTACCAAAGATTCAAATCTCTCACTCTCCAAATTCCCAAGCATTCAATTCCAAAATTTCTAAATTCTAAAATTTTCGAATTTCCAAAGTTTCAAATCTCTCACTCCCCAAATTCCCAAGCATTCGATTCCAAAATTTCTAAATTCTAAAATTTTCGAATTTCCAAAGTTTCAAATCTCTTACTCCCCAAATTTCCAAAGAGTCAAATCTCTCACTCCCCAAATTCCCAAAGTGCCAAGTCTCTCACTCTCCAAATTTCCAAATTTTCAAATCTCTCACTCCTCAAATTCCCAAACTGCCAAGTCTCTCACTTCCCAAATTCCCAAAGTGTCAAATCTCTCACTCCTCAAATTTCCAAATTTTCAAATCTCTCACTCCCCAAATTTCCAAAGTGTCAAATCTCTCACTCTCCAAATTCCCAAAGTGCCAAGTCTCTCACTCCCCAAATTCCCAAACTGCCAAGTCTCTCACTCCCCAAATTCCCAAAGTGTCAAATCTCTCACTCTCCAAATTTCCAAATTTTCAAATCTCTCACTCCTCAAATTCCCAAACTGCCAAGTCTCTCACTTCCCAAATTCCCAAAGTGTCAAATCTCTCACTCCTCAAATTTCCAAATTTTCAAATCTCTCACTCCCCAAATTTCCAAAGTGTCAAATCTCTCACTCCCCAAATTCCCAAAGTGTCAAATCTGTCACTCTCCAAATTTCCAAAGTTTCAAATCTCTCACTCCCCAAATTTCCAAAGCTTCAAATCTCTCACTCCCCAAATTCCCAAATTCCTAAATTCTCCAATTTTCAATTTCCCAAAACTCCTAAATTCCCAAACTCTCTCCCACCTAAACCCCCAACTTCCCAAATCTTCTTCCTTCCAAACCCCCCAATTTCCAAACTGCCCACCTCCACCACTTTAAAATAATTCCACAAATAACAAAATATCTAAAGAGCACAAAAAATATTCCCCTGAAATTAGTTCATTATTAACAAAGACGTATAATCGCCACGCGATAAGTATTTCCATACCCGATATCGAAAAACCCGCCAAAACCATTCGCTCGCTCTTGAAATTCAATGGCTCCTCTTTGCAACAAAGCACGGTAATTCAGCCTCGGGGTGTAAACACAGAACAGAGTGAATTAAAAAAAAATAAAAGTAAAATAGAATTCATGTCCAATTTGAATACTAAGGACTAAAATTGAACTGATTAAAATTGGACAAATGAAAATCTACGCTTTGCTACATTTTCTGTTCGTATCAATTCGCTCGGGCTCGAAAGTTTTAAGCCGGCGGATGGCGACCATTTATTGTTTGAATCCGTTTGTTTGACTTCACAAAGTTTAAACAAGTAGAACCGGTCGAGTTCGCGAAATTCAATAGGAACTGGCTACGAAACTTTCACATTCGTTGTACTCTGTTTTACATTGAATGTGTGAACCGCTGTACAGTCAATTAGCTATTTTACGATGAAGGATATATCTGTTTGGAAATAATAACATGATAAGGGACAATGAGAAATTATTTCGAAATTCAGATGAGGTTTCTTTATTCGGAAAATTTGAATAAAATTATGCAAAATGGGGGAAATGGGCTTGACAAGATTAGGTTAGGTTTAGGAGTGGTTAGGTTAGGTTTGTTAATTTTAGTCATTATAAGAAATTATATTTGAAACTTTATTTAGAAATTCAGCTGAGGTTTCTTTATTCTGGAAATTTGATTAAAATGAATTATACGAAATGGAGAAGTAGTAGGTTTAACAAGGTTAGTCTAGGTTTAGGAGTGGTTAGGTTAGGTTTGTTAATTTTATTCATTGTAAGAAATTATATTTGAAACTTTATTTAGAAATTCAGATGAGGTTTCTTTGTTCTGGAAATTTGATTAAAATGAATTATACGAAATGGAGAAGTAGTAGGTTTGATAAGGTTAGGTTAGGTTTAGGAGTGGTTGGGTTAGGTTTGTTAATTTTAGTCATTATAAGAAATTATATTTGAAACTTTATTTAGAAATTCAGCTGAGGTTTCTTTATTCTGGAAATTTGATTAAAATGAATTATACGAAATGGAGAAGTAGTAGGTTTGACAAGGTTAGGTTAGGTTTAAGAGTGGTTAGGTTAGGTTTGTTAATTTTATTCATTATAAGAAATTATATTTGAAAATATATTTAGAAATTCAGCTTGTCTTGTTCATAAAATTAGACTGAAATAAATTACACAAAATGAAGGATGTGTTTGGTCAAAGTTAGGTTATGTTCACTAACTTTGTTCATCGTAATAAATGATATTTGAGTCCACGATACATATAAACTTAGAAAATTTATTTTAACAGGTAATCTTCAATTAATTTCTCAATTTAAATACACAAAATATATTTATCTGAACATATTAAACATGTTAAATATATTTCTGTAGCATGGTACAAAACTAGCGTCAATCTGTACTTTTTATTGCAAATCAGTTACATTACTTAGCTACACTGTTACAGTAAACAATTGACAAGCTCAAATCACTATACAATTCATTTACAATCTAATTGAATTAGCAGAACTCGCTTATATTATCCAAAAAAATGAAGGAAAGACGTAATCACTTTTTCTTCGACTCCCGTTCGCTAATTGAGAGGCTTCGTTATTATTTCATGCTTCGTTCAAGGCGACCGCAAGCAGGTGGCCTCCCAAGAAGCCGTAGCTTTGATAAAACGAATCGCTTCGACTCTGTCGCGGAATCTTATGGAAACGAAATTTCCTCTCGCTAAGTGAACTTTATCTCGAGAACACCGAGAGACGTGACCACCACAAAGAAAACAGTGTTTTCGCGCAGATATTCTCATTATCGCGAAGCCTGAATATAAATCGATTTATTCTGACAATGAACGCGGTGGCGTTCCCCCGTCATTAACGAGCTCGTTAACATCGCTTGATCTTTATTTATGTCTGAATTAAGGAAATTTCGTCGCGTTCGGGATCCGCGCGTTCGAGTGAATCGAGTTGATTAATTTCTGGGTTAACAGAACGATGTGTATGGGCGTGAAAATGAGCCGGTTATGCTCCGACGTTCGAATTGAAGGTTCTTGTGTAATCGATGGAAAATCGTGACAATTGGATGTTCCATGATTTGCAGTTCTAAAGATAGATACTCATTTTTTTACTACTTGCGGTGTGATTATTATCGATTACGTATTTAATTGTTATTGATCGCGGATGTTGCATGTAAAAGGGATTCTCCACATCATTCTCTGTGATTTATTGGGAAGTATAGTTATTTAGCTTTCATAGAAAATTAATTTTGCGTGTTCTGAATTATTACAACTTACACTACATTTCAATGTGAAATTTAATAATTAATTACTATAGTGAAATAATTTTTATTTAAACGTAACTTAACTAGCTTCCGAAGAAAATAATAATAGCAACGTGACTAAAATTGCAGGGCAACTAAAATGTAATTAAACACGTCTTAAGAATATTTCTAAATTTTTATTCAACCATTTCGGTGATTTAGCGTGTCCTCTTCCAGACCCACGAGGAACAATGCAGGAAATATCGTAAAAAATAACGAACACAGAAAGAAATATATGTATAGCAGAAAAGGCGAATGCACGGTCAGATGCCACTTCGTTACGACTTGTCCCGATGAATGGCACTTCTTCTATTCATCAGACAAATGGACTTGTACCATTGTTATTTATTCTTCTGTTTGAAGATGCACGGCCGTGCACATTGTCCGCATCACTGGCAAACAACTTGGCTATCTGGCATTGATGCAGCCACAATATACGGCTGTCGTGAAAGAATCTGTGCTCTAGTTTGAACGATTGACCACCACAAACATTCGGTGCATTTTTAACTATGTGCTAAAAAATTTTGGGGAACGATCTTGAGCTTAAAGGAGGTAGTCTTAAGTGATTAGACATTCACTGCCATTAGAAATGTTAGAATTTTGAGGTTAATATATCAATATAAATATATCTTAATATATTTAATGTACTAAAATAAGTGTATTTCAATATTCTTAATACATCAAAGTAAATATAAACCAACACATCAAAATAAATATATTTAATATATCAAAATAAGTATATTACATACATCTATCATGTCAAATATGCATAAATTAAAATGAACAGTAATATCACAATAAACAGTAATATCAAAGAACGTATTTTTATAGAATCTGTTGTTAACAAGGAAGAATGTTCAACCAGCGTCTTTAATGTATCTCCTCTTTGTTATGATTTCAGAATTGCAGTTTCCAATGTCTTAGAAGCAATCAGTTGCTTGTTTCTGCTGTTGACGTTGCTGGTTTACGCTTGTTTACCCACTCTTCAAAATCTGCACGGGAAAACCTTGATGTGCCATTCCGCGAGTCTTCTAGTGGCTTTTGCTTGTCTCGCTATAATACCGTCGGTGACACCGCCTATGGTATTTGACGAAGATGCTGAGGAACGCTATGCCACCGCATTTTGCTTCACACTGGGTATGTCATCGTATTCTCTTATACAAATTTTCTAATTCATGACATTTTAGTAGCTAAATTATATGAATTCTAAAAAAAATCTTGTTATTTTTTCAGGTTACATCATGCTCTTTGCATTCCTGTCCGCTTTCTGCTGGTTGAACGTCATGTGCTTCGATATATGGCGGACTTTCGGGTAAGACTTCATTTTCTATTTCTTTTTCACAACTCTTTTCCTCTATTACGTTTTTCATTTAAACTTGAAGATGTTCCAAAATTACTGAAACTTTTATTAAAAACAGCAAGTACTTGAAAATGCTACTTTGAGGTATATACGTTTAATAAAAAAATTCAATCAATTTTTAGTAAATAAAAGATGGCATTTTTTAAAGACAGACTATTACTTTCCTTAATGAAGATTACTGATGTTCATACTTTTTAAATAAAGTCCTGCAGTCTCACATAAACAATTCTGATCTAACGACACAATTATGATAAACATTTTATAAAATATAAAAGAGTACATAATAATATATGTAGTATATATAGTATAGTATATATAATTCAAACTCATGTTCATACTTTTCAAATAAGGTTCTGCAGCCTCACATAAATTCTGATCCAACCATACACTTATGATAAACATTTTATAAAATATAAAAGAGTACATAATAATATATGTAGTATATATAGTATAGTATGTATAATTCACACTCATGTTCATACTTTTTAAATAAAGTTCTGTAGCCTCACATAAATTATGATCCAACCATACACTTATGATAAACATTTCACAAAATATAAAAGAGTACAGAATAAAAGAGTATGAAACAAAAGATAATAGTATACATAATAGTTTCATCAACTTGTTATGGAACCCCCTATAAACGTCCATGAAAGATCTATCGCAAGATGGCGGATAATCGCGTTCAAATTGAGCGAAACAAAGAGGAAATTAGTTACAAAGTGACTTAAGTACAAGGTGACTAATGCAGCAGAAATCGAGCCTGTCAATGAGGCACGCGATCATGGCGGATCTTTATCTAAAAGTTTTCGAGGGATAATGCGACAAGTACTTTATACGCGGCAATTTTTCAAGTGTCCCCGCGTAATAGATTACCGGGATGATAGAGCTTGTAAGAATAGTTTTTCTTCGACTTAATTTATTCTCCTTCCAAGTCTCGCAACTTGTACCATCGTCCCTCGAGATCGGGAAAAAAGTTCGATATCTAGAAATGAAATAATTAATTCTTTTCATTGGACGAGGAAATAATTGTCTGCGGTTAAATACTTATCGGATAATTGCGATCGGAGTATGGAAGATTCTATTATCATTGATTGCCAGTTTATTAATTATCCGTCGTGGAACGTATTATAGTTAATTCGTTCGAATTCGATGATTATGCTTTAACGGAATTATTTGTCGTCACAATTTCCTAGTAATTATGGTGGTTTAATTATAAGTTCGTTCGAAATTAATTATAACGTCAAAATTATTAAATAAAATAAGTTTAAACTTTAATAAAGATAATGTGAGTTTGAGAACATTTTTAAAAATAAGATGCAAAAGAGTTGCAGATCGATCGTTTAAAATTTCCAATCTGATTAATTGATCGGAAAATTAATCTTCAAATATTGTGCCAGATTTAAACGACTGGGGAAATTGTCAATCGCTGATTAAAAACAATAAACGTTGATACGTTTCGTTTTGGAATTTGCAGCGCATTCATTACTTCCATCAATTTTTGAAGTACAATAAAACAGCAGAAATATATTTTCGCAGAAATTTATTTATAACATTTCATTATTCATGTATGAATATTTGTATAATAAATTATACTATTACCTTGATACATGAAAGTTTTAAAAAAAATCAAAAACAAGTTACATCAAGTTACAAATTTTCTATCACAACATTTTAGAGCACAGAAAAATTCATCTAACATTGCAGTATTTTTATTTCAAGCTCCACATTTTTAACCAGCTATTAATCATTCTTTAAACCGATATTGTAATTAAAAAGGGAAGAATGAAACGTTTATCGAATATCGTGGACAGTTATATTCGTTTCCATTCATAAAGTTTTTATACGGTTTCATCAAAGACGTGAATTTTACATCGTTAAATCTTTCGGCGGTCTCATAAAAAAGTACGTACACAGTTACGATGACGGATGAACGATTTTCCTTTCTCATCGAGAAGTTAATCGATTCTATCGATATTCGCACGTGCAATAATCCTGGGCTTGCGGATTCCTAGCGCGATAAATTTCATTCCGTTTCGCCGTTAGGGAATTAACCTTCTCCGTATGAGGGCCGGTAATTTGAGAAATACGCCAACTTTCGTTCAACGGTTACTAATTTCAACGTATCACCGATTTTCTGGCCACGTAACAACGATAATCCGAGAACAGGTTTTCATAGCGCACGGTGGAAACCCGTTTACCGAAATTTCATTTCCAAATTACACCGGACGCTGTTAAAACTAGGATAATGTGTCAGTCGCGGAGCGTAATTCAATTCCAGTCGGATGTTTAACGTAAACTTTGCGCCCGTCAACGACGAATATCCGGTTTCCGGTAATTCCTCGCTGTTACGGATAGCGATGGGCATTCGATCTGCAGTGGGAATTTTCGAAGATTTCGAATTACGGGATTGTATAGGCTATTACATGTGCAAATGATAGGTACGAATACAACTACTGGGGATTTGGGATCTAGGGAATTGGGATTTGGGGGATTTGGGATTTGGGGGATTTGGGATTTGGGGGATTTGGGATTTGGGGGATTTGGGATTTGGGG